GAGCCCTGATGAGAAGACCTTTGGAAAAACTGAGAAAATGCCGCCGAAACTGAATACTTGACGTGGATCATAAATATATTCAACAATTAAATAACATCTTCAATTTCTCTTCACACAATACGTCTCCTTGCAGTATCAACACTAATTCGGCTGACTTTTACATTTGATCTAATTCACAGTTATATTTACACCATAACGGTGCACAGCTGATATAAAAGGACTGTAGTTTTTTAAGATATTATTGATTTTCTTTGAATGTAAGAATGTAAATACTGAGTCTGAAATAGTATAGCAATATGCTGTAAAATTATGTGAAAGCATGCATAAAACTACACATCTTCAGATGTTGTACGAAAACATAAGTGTCCTACACTAAGTTATTATGGCTGTGTGTACCTTGTGTGCACCTCCTAGTGGTTAAAGCACGTTATTGAATTATTGTGTTGTATTTGATTAAAAAAATATTAAGAGTACATACTTTCATAGGAGGAAAGTATAAATATAGAATATAAAAAATCAAGAAGATACTATAAGTGATCTCTACAATAAAACAGTTTAGTGCAGAATAACAAAGATATTAATAGGAGGAGGTGCAAAACAGAAAAACGAATTAACCTTTATTTAAACATTAAATAACAGATTATAGTCTTCTTTTAAATAAGAAAAAAACTTTGGGGGTATCTATCTACAGATAAATATTAAGCCTGACAAAGTACTTAACGTCTAATATATTGCTTTCCTGCAATGTTAACTGTGTTGAAGCACTTATTTTAACTGATATTATGCATATGAATTATACTCTTATGTATGTAGATATAATAAGAAATGTGCAGAATATGACAGTTTAATGGTGGAGGTACACACATATTGATAGATGTCTTGTAATGCACTGTTGAGGAACCTGTGACCCAAGTGTTTCATTCATTGCATAACTACACCGTAGTTGTGTATATGATATGTCAATAAACCTTTGAAAATCTTGAAAGGGATGTGCAAAATAGCCATAATATACAGTCTTTAATTAACTATTAGTAGAGAATAACGAGTAATGAATATACTTTATTACTCGTTTCCATTCATGTCAATTGCAGATACATGTTTAGTCTTCTCAAGCACCAACTATCAAATATCTCTCCTGATTGTTGGCACTTGACAATCACCTTACCTGCATTTTACTCAGGTGTAACTAAAGTCTGATTTAAGGGTTGTTTATATTTCACATAATTAATCAGAATCTGCAAAGTAACTCAAATAAATGCAGTGGAGTAAAAATACCAGGTTAACCTCTGAATTGTAGTGGAGTAGAATTACAAAGTAACAATGAGCTGTCATGTGGGTATTAATGCTGCGCATTATGGACACAAGCGATTTTCACCCATTTATTAATTATATGTTTTACATTTGATAACACCAATGTGTTTAATACTTGCAACTTCTATTTGTGGGGAAAAATGAAAACGTTCAGTAGAGACGTCCCATAGAACATTTTGCGAAACACAATAGCCAGCATGTGTAGTTCTGGGGGGGCGTTCGATTCCAGTTTTCGATAGTCTGGCGTGGTTTCGTTGCATTTCACACAGCTGTTTGACGCTCTGTGTAACCTTACGGGGACTGTAGTCCTAAACGATAGCTGGGGATTATGGGTAGTGTAGTGTCTTCGGCCATCCTAAACTCAGAAATGTTGACAATCGCAATGATGCTCGAAATGTCCCTTATACGTCTGTTTCCGGTTATTTTGAAATTCAGTTCCTGACGGACGCCAAAAAAGCCCGATATTATGGAATTAAATCAATAAATAAAAGCAAGGATAATTGTGTGTTATTGGTGAGTAAATAACAGTGTATTATTTTGAAAATAATAACGAATTAGAAGGAAACAAATATTTTATAATACAGATTTCAGTATTCTGAGGCTCTGAGCCCCATTTATTTTCATCACAGACGGCAACAAAAGTCCGAAATTATACGATTTAAAATAAAAGCAATAATCGTGGCTTGATATTGAGTAAGAACATGTTTTTATGAACCACACAGCTTCCGGTCTCCCACGACCCGACCGGAGAAAAAGACGTGCTGCAAGCAGTAGAAATACATTGCTTTTAAAATCGTGCTATGCAACACGAAAAAAAGGGGCAAATCGTGTTGGTGAACACGAATCAATAGATTAAAAATCGTGTTGGTGAACACGAAATGCCGTGAGACTGGGTTGGTTCCTCTGTTGTGTTTAAAAATAAAAATGAACGTGTGTGTGTGTGTTGTGTGTGACAGTGACGTGCGGTGAGGTTCATGGCTGGTGAGGCACTGACTCTTTCAGAGTCAGATTTACAAATATTATATTCTGACCTTAATCGAAATATTCTGTTATTTTCAAAAGCTTTTTTGGTCTGATGTTTCGATTCATTTTAAACAGACCGTTCAACAAAAGGATACCCACAATCTAAATATTGGATTGTTCTTTCTTAGTAAGATCCGATTTTCATTACCAATGTGGTCTTACCTTGACTTGAAGATGAAGTCCATGCTATCCTTCTGGACAAGGACAACAATCTCTATTACTTTTTTGTAAAAGTCCTCCTTATCTTCCTCTAGTTTCAAAAGTCTAGTTTGTTGTTTGCGTCTGGTCTACCGTCTCTGCGTAGAATAAAAGTAGCAACAAGGACCTGTGGGCTCACGTGCGCCCCCTTCAGTGCGGCAGAGGTTATGGCTGCCTCCCCTGGTGCTTTTTTCATTGCCGTTCTACGGCGAGCCTAAATATCATATATACGTGAAATAAGTTATTTAGAGACTATGGATGGCGAGGATAAATGTAATAAAGGGATCTACAAACATTACATTGGTGACCTACAGTGAGATGGTGCAGGCATGCGCTTAAGGCCCGCTTTCCAGACAGTTTCTGTGAGGTGACGCATTTTGAGGTGAGGCAGAGCTCATCTGTGCCTCACCTCACCACACAGTAACTGGCTTGAGCGCGCTCACAAAATAAGTGCCTGCGCTAAATTAGTGCCCGCGCTACAGCAAGTTACTGTGGGCTTACGTGAGGCAGAGCTCGTCCCTGCCTCACTTCTCATCGCTACCCGTAGTTGTAGCGGAGCTCGGCCAATTTGCTGATTTTGACTATAAAAAGCGATTGGAACCAAACATAAATCACATTTATAACACAGATCAGTGGAGACATTTTATTATTACTATTTAGTTTTTCTTTAGTTGTTTTTCCGTTACATTGTAGTATGGCCAGTCTATGAGTATGACAGGTGAGGCTCTGCCTCCCCTGCCTCCCCTGACTGCACGTCGCTGGTGTGTGATATATACAGTCTATGGTTTGTACACATATGCACTACCCCCCCTTTAACTCCACACCCTAGATAACAATGTACACATTAGTATTGATCAGTCTTTCTTAAACAGATTACAAAGCAGCCAGCCTCCGCTCTCTGGAAGCAGTCAGATGGACAATGAAGATACATTTGATTATCCTCACAATCCATTATCTCTCCGATAACACACTAATTGCTTTATTTATAAAGTGAAATTAAAGGAGTGGAATAGACATGATTTTGTTTTTCTTCCTTGTAACACGTGATAGAATATATCAACATGCTTCAAAGGCATATGCAAAAGACATATTAACATTTTCATCTGCCGCTATGTTAGTCTAAGGAGGTGTTAGGAATACTGACATTTGACATTTTGATGTACATAAATTAGAGAAGCATGGTTAACATGTTGTACATTGCAGCTATGAAGCTATAGGAATACAGCTGCGGTGAAACATGAGGCAGATATTTTTTTGCGGGGAGGAAATTCCATCCGTGCGAGCAAACAACTCAAATCTGAAACACGCGGCCAATTAATGACAATAAATGTGTCCGCACAATGTTCTCTCTTCGCCCTGTAAGAGCCTCTTGTTGCTGCACAGAAACCCCTCTTCCAGCAGATGACTCTATCCTAGCTTTAAGAGGATCTCCCCCCATCCATTCCTCTATTTAATGTTACTCTTACTTAATCACTCTGTGTGGACACTGATCCATCTGTATCATTAACACTGTTATCATGTTTGAATAGACAGTTACACAACATCAACAGGTACTTTTTTGAATGCTCAGTATATTTCCCTGAGGCTTTTCTGATCAAACCAAAGCTTTTGGAAGTAATCGTTTAAACAGCACACACCAGTAATGTTATCATACATTATTATTTCAGGAATACAATTTGTACCCGCGGATAATATCACAGCAGAATATATTTTACTTTACAATACACTGCAGTACAGCAGATTAATGACCTCTGTTTTACGGTTTCGAAGTAGTATCTGTATAACAAATAGTAGCCAACACAGCTTTATCAGATTCCTTCTAATCTTGGGAAGATTTCCGTACACCCCACCACATTCGTCCTCTGTCTACTTAATGGATGTTGCATAAGGACCTATTGAGCAGGAACACAGATGGAAGGATACTGCCCCCTGTTGGAAACACTGCTACCAAGGGTTTGGTTTACATCACGCTCTATAAAAAAGGGACATTTTGAAGACAAATATTTTGGTGCTCTGGATTTTCTAGGAGTCTCAAACTCAGACCCACGTCTAAAGTCTGGTTCCACAGACGCTTGGAGACAATGGGGTGCTTTTGTCTTTTGGTGACACTTTATTTTCACAGGTTTTTTAAAATAATTTTCCTGAAATGAACCGTTGCACAGATTACAAATCGGTTACATCAGCAAATAACTGTGTGTGTATCAATTAAACATGGTCTTGAGGAACATTATTGGGTTTTAATTGATAAATGATGGCCCTGTTAAAAGATTTTTTTCGCAATGAATTAGTGAGGAATAACATCATTATTTGAAGAATATTATTTTATTTTATTCCGACATAATGGCCATGTAAAACATTTGTATCATTGATCTTTCCGTGTTAACGACTAGCTATTTTTGATTTTAAAAAATCCATATTTAAATGTACCTATTCCGACCATACCATGAATCAAAAGAGGACTAAAAGTATTAATGTATAATTCCCATTTTATTTTCAGTATTACGCAACATTAGAAGTATAAATATCTGTTTTAATATACAACATCTATGACATCCATAGAGCTTTCCTTGGGCAAAATACAAAACTCAAAACACTTTTATTGCACATATTTCTAAAAGACAAACCATCGTAAGCAAGTTTATCTAATACTAGTACAGGGGGAAGAAAAAGGAAACGGAAAAGACAAGCAGAGAAGAGAAGAACCTGACATGAAAACACATTGATTACAGCACAAACAAATGTTCTTATTACACAAGTCTCACACTACTATAGACAACATTATCTCTGACACAGAACACACATTTGGCAAATCAACAATATACAAAATATACATCCATGATGCTTTGTAAACAAACATTGAATGTGCTTTGAGGGTTTTAATGTCAGTCGTCACAGGAAAAAGAGTGGGGGAAGAAACAAATAAAATGCAGTGATTTATTTGAAATCTGAAGTGAGGACGAGAAGGGAATCCATAAACCATGTTCAGCTTTAATTTCACTTTGCTTCTCACCCTTTGAACTGGATATTGGTAAACATTAAGGTGCATTTGTTCTCTCACATCACATGAGAAATACATTAACAATATCTAATGCAGGTAGCATCAGACCCGTTTAACATTAAAATCTCTTCAACCAATCTCTCGTGCTTCAGGTTAACTCTGGGATTCAGTGTAGCACATCAACTATATTCTGTGACATGTTTGACTCGTAGTATTTGAAGTAGAGAGGATAATTATTCTTTACATAGCCTGCACAACAGAGAAAATAATGCATTACACACTTTAGTGTCCTAGGTTACCTTTATATTCTTATTTAGTGTTTACAATTGAAAGGCGTCTAAAGTATAAAAAAGTGTTTAGGTGTGTATGTAAATGTAAGAAAGTGATTGTGAATAAATGACAGCCTGTACTGTATGTATCAAAGTACCAAGTATTTAAGATCAAATGACTGTTGTGGACATGAGCTATGCAATAATCAGGATTCCTCTTATGATACCGTTACCCAGGTGAAGCCAGATGCTGCTCATTATAGAGTCCTTTGAAACATCAAAACACTCACACTACTTTAACAACACTGAGGCTCAAACGGGACACTGACATCCTGTGATACCCTGACGCTCTGTGTGTGAACTGGTGTCTGACTCAAGAGTTATCTTAATGTCACTCCGCTGAAGCCCACCGCCTTCAGAAACCCACTGCAGTAATGATTGGCAAATAGAAGATCTGGATAATCTCATTAATCAAACACAATGTTCCATATTTGTACACGTTTTAAACCTTAGTCAGCCAGCAAACACTTCATCAACATTAAAAACATTCTTGGGAAAAGCTGACAGCCTCAGATTTCTTTTATAATGCTACATTTTTAGAAATAGCTCAGTAACCCCCTCATGACTTTTATTCTCTATCCTCAAGTTCATTGTGGAACATGTCACAGAGAAAAGGATGCCTTTGACAAGATACATCACAATAGCTTACTTTAGACCAAAGAGTTATCGAGCAGATACTCTAATATCGAGCATACAAACAAATGACACAGCAAAATCTATACATATAATACAAACGACAATCATGTTAAGCCCATGAATCCCAGTTTTACAGTGTTATCATATCTACATCATATTGCATACAAATCAAAAATATATGTACACACGTCAGAGGAATGTGAATTAACACCACACCTTGCTAAGAACAGCAAGTCTTTTATTTCCCATCATTTTAAGGCCTCTTCACTAATCTATCATTAAGTGAGAAGCACAGGATATAGTGCATTCCCCTCTGTGTACCACTGCACAAAAAACAGACATGAAAAGATTTGGATTATACAAACAGAAACAATCGTGATACAACTGCTGAGCAAATGGTGTGGTATACTATACGAGCTCAGATCATCTGAGTCTAGAAGTAAGAGTGCAATTCAAAAATCATGTATGGCACTGACTTTACAGTACGACCTTTCTACGGCTCTTCCCTGCTGCCCCCGACATACCGACTGCACAAAGCAGAAACAAAACTTGACGTGAAAAGTATTACACCAGCAATGACTGCCTACATTCAGACCCAGAGACATGTACACGCGTGTGTTCTTAAAACACACACAAACACACCGACCACTCTATCCACGTGTAACAGCTTACCCGGTCCTCAAAACAAAAGAAGGCATGATGATGTTCGCACAAACCTCTTTCTAACTTTTTATTACATCTAGATTTTCTGAAGCGGCTGCTATTTTAACGTCCCTCTTTTATTTGTTGTTATTAGAATGAGGTGGCGACTCCTTCTGCTGCTTCCTGCCTGTGTCTCTTTTCCAGTTTTTCTGCGCAGACTCTTGAACCGTCTCTTTTTTCTTCCTCTCAGCCTGCTCCTTTTTGCTGGAGGGCCCCAGTTTCTCAGGGGTGGTGTTTCTGGTATCCGGGCCCTTAGGACTGTCCGGTTTGAGCGTTTCAGACTTGGGGCCTTCTCTTGATACCTTGATGGCACTTTCCTGGGGGGCACAGATGGAGACCCTGCCTCCACTGATCAGCATTTCTTTCCTCACTGCAGGTTTGGGCAGCACTGGTGGTGGATCAGGCTGGGAGGGAACTTCTGACGGCAGCTGAGAAAGAGGGGAAGCTACTTCTTTTGCTTTGGCGCCATGATGGTGTCTAACGGCTGAAGCTTGTTTTTTGGGTGAGGGGTCTTTGTGTTTGGCATCAAGACTTTGTTTAATAACTGGTGGTGGAGCTACGGAGGTCTTTAGAGCTAACAATGAAGGGAGAGTTTTAGAAGGGGGAGATTTTGGCTTTGATTCTGAGATCTCTTTTGCTGCAGAGCTTTTGGGCTGGGTTTCTTTTTGCTTCACGTCAACAACCGCTGGAGACAGCTGCACCGATTCTTCCTGCTTGCTTGGCACCGCGGCTTCTTTCTGTTTATGAGTTACTTGATTGTTTGAAGTGGAGAGCGCAGATTCTTTAGACACATCTCTCTGTTTTGAGTGTTGACTGCCCCTGAGTGCTGGAGCAGGAGGAGCTGTGCTGTGATGTTTCCCTTCCAGTGTTGTTGTGTCTGTCTTCACAGCGGTGTGCCGTGCAGGCTGCGGGTCAGGCCTGGACTTACTCTTGGGAATCAAAACATTTTCATTTGCCGGGGATTTGAGTTTTGTGGCGTTTTCTTTTACACTGATAACCGTTTCTTCTTTTTTAGAGGTGCAGTTTTCCGAATCTGATGATTTGTGTTGTGCTCTTTCAGCCGGACAGCTTTTGGATGGTGGTTCTAAATCTTTCACATTGCCTTTATTCTTTGGTGAGATGGGATTCTCTTTTTTCTGCAGCAACATGCTACTACTCTCTACAGCATTAACACTCTTTGTAACATGATGTAATGAGGGGACTGCCTTTACTGTACTAACTTCTCTCTTCTGCTCCACTTTTGCAACTCCAACGCATGTGTTGACCTTACTCAAACCTGAAGTGCCTTTTCCCCCAAGCTCTTTAACAGCTGATCTGTTATATTGGACACCGTCCTGGCTCACAGATCTTCCCTTGCAGTCCTGACCTTCTAATTTAGAACTGCACGTTTTATCGTCCTTCACAGAACCAGATGTTGTGATAGAAACCTGCGCTTCTCTATTTGAAAAGCAGATGTTCAATGGCTGCCGTTGTGAAAGCACATTCTCTGGGAGGCGAGAGCTGTTCTGTACATTCACCTCAGACGCAGAGGCCATGTTTGAGCTCTGCGCAATAGGTGTGTTTTTCTCGCAGCTCGGACGCTGACCTGTATCCAAACCACAGTTTATACTCTGCTTCAGCGACACAGGTAACGGTTCACTGGCCGGAGTCTTCACAGTTTTGATGTCTTCCTCCGGCTTTGCTGAAGTCAAAGGGAGCAGTGTCCTGGAGCTGTCGGTGTGTTGTGATGTAGTGTGTGGTGTGACTTCCTCCTGCTCTGCTTCATCCTCCTGATCTTCATTGCTGACTTCCCGTATGGAGGGTGTTTTTCCACAGGAGGAGAAGTGGGAGCTGTGTCGAGGGCCTCTGTGTTCATGAGGCGGTAAACTGGACTTCATACCTGTCTTGCTCTCTGGTTTAAAAGGAAAACTTGAGGCCTCCATTTGGCTGGTTTGAGCCTTAAGTGGTTCACTGTTTCTTTCCTGTGTTTTCTCCCAACTTGCACTGATGTTCACCTCTGTGGCTGCCTTCTTTGACTGATCTTTGGAGGCGACTATGCTGTTTAGAGAAGAAACAGCTTCAGGACTTGTGGAACAAGCCAGGGGGCTCTTGAGCTTATCAGTAGTTTTCAGTTGGGGGACTTTTATTTGTCTTTCTGCAGGGGTCTGGAGCCAAATTGGACTCAAAGAAACAGTCTCGCTTGAGTTCTCCGCCATCTTGGATAAACAGTTTTCTGTTTTCGAGACTCTGGGCCCTGAGAGCAGCCCGATATCCAGAGTGCCCTCCAGAGGTTTGAGAGAGGAGACGTGGCGTCCTTCAAGTTTGTATTCAGACGATGTCTTTCGAAGTGGAGACTCTGCCGAGATGAGCTGGAGCTTTTCCACGGCGCTCTCCCCTCTGCCGGAGAAAAGCTTAGGGGACAGGCATTCAGGGCTGGAGTGGACACTTCCTAGTCCCGCCTTCATGTGTTCATGACACATGGCCGTGTCCAGCTGGAGGCTCTTGGACCTGGTGGAGCCAAAGTGCAGGTTCTCATGGAGGCCGGAGGACAACCGACACATGCAGTCCTCTCTGTCCTCAAACGACAGCCTCTTCCTGGTGAACTCCATATTGGGAGCTTTGAAGTCCAGTCTGTCCGGCTTCATGTTGTCTTTACCCTGCCTGGGATGCTGCCACTCGGGGTGAATCGAGCAGAGAGTTGATCTGTGTCCTCCGTCAGTGTCACCACAGCCGTTGGATGTTTCAGCGTGGCCCTCAGAGACACGTGTGTTGAGTTTTTTATACAGCACATCTTTTAAGGTTGTACTAGCAGCTTTGACCTCCAGAGGGCCAGAGTCCGGGCTGCTCTGGGTTTTGTTGTGGCTTCGGACCAAAAAACTCTCCTCCCTGTCATCACCGCACCACTGGGATGAGTCAGAATCACACAGAGCGTCCTGCTTCTGAAGAGACTCCCTCCTTTCTGACCAATCCTGTCTCTTTGCAACCATCTTGGACTTCAGCTTCTCCTTGTCGAGCTCTTCAAGAGACTCCTGCCGACCCACCTTGCGTCCGGCGGGCCTCTTTAAGCAGCCCTGCTCCACAGGTCGAACACGGGTGCTAGACAGAGGCTCACTGGCTGTTTCCTCCACACTCTGCAGGACGGTGTAATCCCTCTCCCCGGGCCTCTGCTCCTCATCCGGCACCTCCTCTTGGGTCACCTCCAGGCTGTGTTTTCTGGGGCATAGATGCTTCTTATCTCCGGAGTAAGAGGGGGATAGCTTCTCCTCCGACTGGACACGTTTTAGCAGCGGAGAGCGAGGCGGCTCTGCACTTTTTGGCCGCACAATATGTCGTACAATTGTGGGTGGGGAATGTATCTTGGCTGGGAAGGCTTGGTTTGATTTGGAAATGGCAACAGGGTGACCAGTGAGGAGGGGAGAGGGAGAGCGCTGAGGGGATGTTGGTTGAGGTGTAGGTGAAGGTGTGCGAGCCAAAGGGGAAAGGGGGATGCTGCCGGCTGACTTGCGGCGCCCCTGACGAAGCCTTTGAACCGGGAGTTTGGGGGCCGAGGCCGTGGAGGGTGCTGGGACGGATGTGCCCGGACCCCGCGGGGGAGTTCGGAGCACTGGAGCTGGGAGAGCTGCTCTGGGAGGAGTTGCCACCTGGAAGTTGTAAGAAGAAAAAAGGAATATCAGTCATATAATAAATGAAATCATAATAACACTACAATTCTCAGACAACATCTCCACCTGACTGGGGGAAGTCTGGTGTGGGGCGGAAGATGGCACTAGGGCAGGGGTGTCAAACTCAAGGCCCGGGGCCAAATCCGGCCCGCGACTTCATTTTCTGTGGCCCCACAAGAGCTTGCAAAGAATATAATATGTTTACATGCTACTTTACAGAAGCACGTTGCCCATAAACTACATGTCCCACAATGCATCTCAAATTTGACTTTCTCAGAATTTGACTTTTGTCAAAATATGCCTTTTTTTCTCATAAATAGATTTTGTTTTCAAAATGTTTTTTTGTTTTGTTTTTCCAGAATGTGGCTTTTCTTTTAAAATCATATTGTGACATTCTCACTGAAGAGACCTGAGACCCCGAGACCTCTGCTTTCAGACGTAGTTAATTATGAAGTTATTACCCTATCCGATAATAATCCAATGCAGAGGCAACCATGTAATATAATAAATTATTTTATATATATTCAATATATATATATATGTCTTTTTTTATATAGTCTTAAAGTTACAACCGGCCCTTTGAGTGCAACCATAATGCTGATGTGGCGCGCGATGAAATTGAGTTTGACACCCCTGCACTAGGGGAACGGGGGGAGAGACTGTGGTTGGGGGAGCCAGGGAGACTCACCAGATGACAGAGAGTGGTTGAGGGAGGTGAAACTGCGGCTTGTGTGCAGCAGAGGAGAGGGCTGCATGGCAAAACGCCTGAAGAGGGAGCGGCGCCTGAAAGAAAGCAAAATAAGACAAAGAATAAGAAAATCAGTCAGGATATATTTATTATAGTTTATTCATTTGCAAAAATGTACATGCAAAAGACAAAAAACAATTACATTATGACTCAACATTCACTTTTTTTTCACTTCAAAGGCTGGTTTGTAAAAATGTGGTGCCATTGTCCATTGTTTTTGCTTTTCATAAATCGTTTTGCACTCAGTCTATTTGAATCCTTTTGAAATGCTAAATATCTCTATGACCCTGTAGGCAAAATGCTCTGCATTCAAATACTCTCTTAGTGTTATCTGTCTGCCCCCTAGGGGCCAATAGGAATCAAAGTGTCTCTACACAGTTGATATCCGACCATTCACTCAGAAACACGTAATCATAACGTTATACATGAGATTCAAACCATGTGATAACAATTTGAAAAAAACATATATTTGAAAATAAATATAAAGTGTCGGTAGAAGAGTTTTACCTTTCTGGTGTCTTCTCCTTCTTGGGCTTCTTGGAACATCTCACCATTTTGCTCCTGTAGCTGTTCCTCTGGGCTGGACCAGTTTTGATTGAAGTATTTTCAAAGGGGGTAGTGGAGATGGTCACTTTGCTACCACTCTGAAAGGGAAGGAATAATAATAATATAAAAACTAAATGATGTTAAGTCAACAAGATGTTTAATGTTGAGGGTTTTTTTTAAACTGAATTTCTGATACTAAAGAAGAAAATACATTGTCATCTACCTTGAGCAGGAGCTCCACCACTTCAGTGTGGACGAGGCCGTGAACTGGTTCTCCGTTCACATGAGTGATGAGGTCTCCAGCTTTGAGTCCTGCTTTATGTGCAGACCCGCCATCTTCTACATTCTGATTAACAGACACATAAGAGACATTTACTTTCATAATCTAGATTTCCTTACTGTCCTTTTGTTGTTTGAGGTATATTTTCACATTCGCTTGGGACAAAAGAAAACAAAGTTTGTGTTCACACGTATTGCAACTAATCAAGAGCTCTAGTGATATTCACTGAAAGTTTATACATTGTGTGATTTTGGCATTTGCTATCCTGCATCATAATTGCTACATGGACCCATGTGGGGGAAATCAAATTCTAGTGACTACTCTGCTGTGTACTGTGCTAAAATGTGTGTTGTTGTTTCAACAAACAGAAAGGTGCATTGTGTGTGTTTTGTGTACAAATATATAGCTACTGTGTGGTTTCTACCTTTTACTACTAATTTGCAAAAGTGCTGTTTAAACAAATGTTCACATTCACATTGATCAGGAAAAATTCCATTATTCACATTCAAAATATTTGTATCAACAGTATATTACATATATAGATACTCACAGTTCCAAAGGAGTGAACCAAGACCCTTCATTTCATTCAGTCTTAGTTTGTCTGTTTGGTCTACACTACTATTTGATTGACAGCTTTTCACACCTGTCCAAATGAACTATACTGATGCATCACAGTTTGTTTAAACAGCAGCAAACCGGTTAAGCGTGAAAGCACCCTCACAGTTCACTGACTTATAATTGATTAGGACTTTCACTACAGGCTGATGTAGTCCTTACCCAGACCATGTGGTAGACAGTGTAGATGTCCCCGTCACACGAATACACCCGAATGGCCCTCAGTGTGAAGCCGAATTTCTTCCCTGAGCTGTGGATGACGACGGGCTGCCGCGGGTTGGCCGTAAGGTGGGAGGTTTCTCGGCTTGGAGAGGAGTCTCTGGAGGAAGGGTCTGAGGAGAGGGAGTACGGGGAGAGGGGGCTGGCCAGAGGAGAGACCCCGAAGGTATCTGAAAAAAATAAAAGATAATCACCACCTGAGCAGTGTCTTTCATTCAATCAATCACACCTTAGCGGGCCCTGGAGTCAGGTGAGTCTATAAAGCTCATGAGCCTGGTTCACGCTGCTCCTGCTGAGGGTGAAACTAATGGGATGTGAAGGCCTCTTGCTTCTGCTTACTTTCCTTATTATAGACTTGTACTCGGCTTCTTGCCCGTAGTCCCTCTGTAAAATGAAACTCACGGCAGGTGTATTGCTGGGCCAATTTCACACAGATCTATAGAGTTTGCTTTCATCTTTTCCACATTATTTGTACAAAGTCCATGGCTTTTTTGTGATTCTTGGCACGTTGTTGCTCCGATATACTTTAACCTTTATATGATCACATTTTCAGTCAACACATGCACATCTGTTTGTGTTCTTCGTCTTACCCCCGGGGATCATGAGGGAAAGGGCACCGGTTGAGACAGACTTTGGGACTTTTGCCACAGCGCCGGTCTTCTCTGCAGCGCTCTCAGGTCGCAGAGAGTTGTTCTGAGGCCCATGGTCTGCGGAGGCATGGCTGGTACTGTCGGGGCTCTGCAACCCCTCACCTCTGGGGGTCAACTGGTCCAGATGTTCTGAGAAACTTCCTGTTTATTACAAAAGATGAGCATGGAGTAAGGGTAACATGTACTTCGCTTGATTAAAGATATGATTGCCATTCTAGAAACAACTGTTGGATATTTTAGGAAATAATCTTACAGCTTATTTGATTTATTTTCAAGAGTAAGATGACACAATTCTTACTAAACTCATGTCTGTTATTTGAGTGCATTTTCGCTCCATCTTTATTGATTTGTCCATACAGAAACTTAAACAAGGCAAATTATGGATTCAAAGGAGGTTAAATGCCTGATTATTTAAGTGAAAAATACATAAATTGCAACAAACTGTAGCTTTAAGTGATAAATGAGGAAAATGTAAGACCATTTTTGATTCTGTAGTTTCATTGTTTCAGAGATCTTACAACTTATACATTTTTATCAAATGAAAACCAGGCAGAAGAAAAAGATACTTAAACACTATGAAATTCCACACAGTGTAATGTTGTACCAGAGAGCGTGGCTCCACTGTGAGTGCTGCCTGGAGTGGTAGCGTCCGGCTCGTCCTGCGGGAGCTCTCCGATGGAGATGGAGCTCTTGCTGGGGTCACCGAGGCCGGAGGTCTCGTCTGCTTCACTCTCTGCTGAGATGGCAAACTTTGGCAACACGTTGGGGCGAAGACCCGGATTCAGACTGTCTGTGGAGTGGGAGAGTGAGGGCCTGGTGGAAAATAAAGAAACATTTATAATGAGATGAACAGATTCTAACAGAAAGAGCTGAATGTTGTTGGAATGTATTGTATATGTTTTTGCTAGGTTTACATGAGGATTATGTTAAGTAGCTAATCCATACCAGCAAACTATTCATGTGTCTGATTATTTTACGGTTCCCATTTCATTCAAATAGGTATTTTCTTCTTGTGTGTAATATGGTTTTCTAATCCTAGCATTATGCCTTAACTGCTTATATCATCTCTGCTACATACTGTATTTGGTTTATGCATGTGTTTAATGAACTTGAGTTTCAAACATACATTTCAGCAAAATCTGGTGTCCAGCTGAGAGAGTCGACAGTCAGTGGGCTCTCACTCTTCTTCCCCTCCGTCTCTCCCTTCTCCTCCAGGAGCCCACGGGACAAATCCAGGCTGCTGTAAACCTGACAACCACACAGAAACAATAACTCACTTCAGTACATGCAGGCTGTAAAGGCAACATTATGTTTAAAACACACATTGTCAGATACTGATTAAGCTACACAGATTGATTAACAAATGCAGTATTATTTACAGGAAATGTGATGCAGATAAGTGCTGTCGGTGTTAACACAGACTTCATCATGAATTACAACCTTGGAGTTCTAGGTGCAGTCGAGGGAAAAACATTGTGTGTAGCTCAACGCTTCCTCAGAGAAGCCCCGCTGCTTTCTGAGACACTGTAATGCTCTGCGTTGATGTGAGAGGGGAGCATACTGCAATGCAGCACAACAATGACTCCCAGCTTGTACGACTGTATTGTGTTCCACATTACCAAAAAAAAAAAAACAGATCTGATTTGCAGGCGGAAAATGTATGCAAAGCCAACGTTTAATACTCTAGGGGTAAAGGGGCAGCGGGTGTGTTTTCTAGACACACATTTTCATATGAACTACCACTTGCTAACACTTACTTTCTCATGAGAAAACACGAGTCCATCCACTCATTTACATTACTAACATCTCAGGAGGTAATGATGATGTACATGTGTTAGTCTGAGAAATGTGAGGGCGGATTAAGGACAAACCTTGGAGAATCGGTGCGAACAAGAGGAGAACTGGCGCAGCTCCACATTGAAGTCTTCATCGTTTGTATCGTCCTCTTCTGTCTCTAGGTGATGGTACCTCTCAGAGCGAGCTGGGGATGATGGGAGGTTCAGATTTCACTCAGTTATTAAGAGTTTTAATGAGTGCTTCAAGATTTAAGTATAAGAACATGGATTATAATCACTGTACCCCAGGCTATGTTTCAAACACTTGTTTTTCTTTTTAAAAGAGGCTTTTAGCAGTCACTTTGTGGATTTGTTTATTTAATGTACAATATGTTGGTGTGTCATGTGAGTTGTACTATAAATGTTCCAGGCCAATTTCCAATATTTTTTCTTGTCTTGTAAAACAAGACGTTTTTTCTGGCAGGTTTTTAATCACATGGCAAACAAACATGAGAAAATTAATAAAGATAATATTAAAGTATTTCATTACTCACTATTTTTGCATCTATTCTATTTGCAATATCATGTTCTAGGTTTTGGAGGTACAAATCAGCAGTTAGAAACATGTGTTATGAAAAACTGGCACTTATGGTTCATGTTTAATTCTGATGCAAGCCGTAGAAGTGCTCCACATTGAAATGGGACTTTCAGAACCAGGTTCGCCCAAAAATACAGATAAACAACTTATAAATACTGTATGATGATAATAGAACATTTGACATCATTTAGTAGCATACACTTGCTTTGATTTTTAAGGGAATTTAAAGGTGTTTATGTTCACATAAAAGAGAAAACTCACTGTCGAAGTAGCTGGTGTCATCCTCAGACTCCAGCTGAGGAATAAACTCTGCCTTCTGCCTCAGCAGGCTGTTCCAGTCCAGGTCATTGAAAAACGTATTCTGCTTTACTTCTGCAGCTCCACCTACAGATCAAACAAGCACAAATGATAACTACTTTAAATACAATTTCAAGGACAGACGTTAAAACTTCTTGTGATGAAAACACTGGGAATTAAAAATGAGTGTCTCAGAGAGATACAGGATGTAAAAAAAAACAAAAACGCTATGTTTTCCTTTTCCCTAGTGGTTGCAGGACTAACCGATAACATGACCGTAAATTATGCAGGACAATTTCCTGCCCGTGACCTTTTGTAGAGTAGCAGGAGACTTTGTAAATGGCAGCCTGGAGGGGGGGTTCTAGACGAACAAGGCGTCCAGCTGTCCCCCAGTTGAACATGCTACGTGCATCCCTCTCTTTGAATGCCTTTGTCCCAGGTCATGGCATCTTTTAACACTCCACAGAGCTACACACTCTTAATGCCGGATCATGCATGGAACTAGATTAATGGACTGGCAGGGAAATCATTGCAATAGATCAAAAGGACGAGGTGAAGAGGCCACAGGATAAACTGCTCTGCTGTGGGGTGACCTCAATTTCTTCCCCGGTGACTAGGAATTATGAGCGGTACAGAGGCGGCTCTAAGGGTCACATGATCATTTATGGAGGCCTGCTGCGCCTCTCTGATCCTAACCGAGATACTGGCTGTGCCACATCTCTCTTTGCCCTTTGTGTCAGTACCTGCGCCCATCCGGTCCAGAGGGTTCTGTCGGAGGAGCAAGGTGATGAGCTCCTGAGAGTCAGGCGGGGGGGCATCGTCTCCCTCAGGCCAGTTGATCTCATCTGGAAAACACACAATGCATGCGATCAGTTTGAAAGTAAAATACTCTGACATACAAGAAGCCCATGAACCTCAATAGCTACTATTTAAAGATAGAAAGCAACAAGCTTTGATCAGGAAATCCATAGAAGTGTTTCTGAGATCACTGTAGGTAAAAAACAAACCAGAATGAGTTGCTTTATTGCTTTAAAAACATGAATTGCAAACTAAATAGTCAATCCCTATTAGCACAGAGTGCATAATTAGTTGTTTGCATTTATTCATCTGCAAGGAACAGGCCATACATAAGCAATCATGACACTGTAGCAGTCGACTTGCTCCATGTTTTATAGCTTGTAATTATAAACCAGTTTATGAAAACATTAGGAGTATGAAAACAAACCTTAGGTATGTTGTAAGATTGTTTTTAAATTATTATATTGAATGTGATACTTTCATGTAACTGCTCTGAGGTGCTCTTTTAAAGAAATACTTAGCCAGCAAAGTCAGACAAATCAGAGTCAGTTCTGAGGTGTAAGCATAATGTTAAATGAGACAATTTACATGTGCTTTTTTTCTAAAAGCCTCATGGATAAGCAATGAAAAGGGGAGCAAAGCCTGTCTGTGCCCTGCTGATTGTCTGCTATGTGCACCATTCGGCCCCATTTTAATCAAATTTGGGAGGGGAGCTATGCATATGTATGTGCGGCCCGAGGCCACGGAGCCATGCATTCAGTGTGTTCTGGCGCCTTTAATTAACAGTCCCTCTCAGAGGCTTGGTACAATTTGATTGAGAGCATAGCAAATCAGTCATGGCATGCCATTCATTTCCATGCCACAGATAGAGGCCCTTATCCAACAACTCAGAATAATACAATTCATCTGAGCCACACCGCTGACAAGATAAAAGCTCTTGTTTTCAAGATTAAGATTTTCTCTCTGTTGCTGTCACCATGAGACTACAAGATGAGAACAAGTAACATTATCAGAATTATAAAAAATGCACTTGTGGTCTAAAGTCAAGATAAATCCACTTACTGCCATCTGTTTGGCTAACAAAACTCGAGGGACTAATTCCTTGTGGTCACTATGTAAATGTTTAATTCATATCTGATTGAGAATATCTCCTCATGTGCTTACAGTAATCTACAAGCCAGATGCTGTGTGGGAAGCATGAAGCACTAATAAATATAGTTTATTTTGATCATCAAGTACAAACTTTAATGAAGTATACTAAAAGAATGATGTTTTGTTTTTGCTTCAGTGAAATGTCATGCTTTGCATTGTAATTAAAATACGTCATGTAATGGTTAAGGGAAATAAAGAGCTTGAGTTTCTGTCTTATCATGTCATTGTGTATTTTGGTTTATTTTTGTCATTGCTATTACTGTAATGGTATTTGTATGTTATTTTCAATATTGTTTTGTCATCTTTTTGTATTTCTTTGTTTATATAGCACCTGCATTTGTAATCTGTATTTTCTCCTGTTATTGTGTTATGTGTGGGAAAAAACAATAAATAAAGTGTAAACAATTTTTTTTAAAAAAGAAGCTCGATTGACCGTCTTAAATCAACAATTAAGGAACTTTGTTTTGCGTCCAAGGCAAGCTGTCAGCGTTGGACTAAGCAACACGCATCTATTAGTGAGGTTTAATACACTTCACAGATGTCACACAGGAACTCTACTAATAACTACTGACCACTGATGACCTGTCCGAACAGCGCCTCCGGTGTGTCTCCAAAGAAAGGCACGCAGCCCACCAGGAACTCGTAGAGGATGATGCCCATCGCCCACCAGTCCACCGGCTTCCCGTAGCCCTGTCTCAGGATCACCTCCGGTGCAATATACTCAGGCGTTCCACAGACCTATACAGAATGAAATATGAATACATATTCCTAACAAGATGTGGTTTGAAGAATAGGTTTTGTCAAAACTTACATTAAATAAGATATACCTGCTTATCAGAGAACTCCCTGGCGTCTTTCTCTATATGTCCCTCATACAGGTTAGTGGTCATGCTCATCAGCCCGACTTTGGACAACCCAAAATCTGTCAGTTTAATGTGTCCCATTGATGTGACCAGCAAACTGCGAGGAAACAAGAGAGAATGTAAAAATTACAAGGAATGTGATGAAAAAATACAACAGTTAGGAAACCTTTAGGCAGTTGAGCTTCCACACAGTGATAATTACAGTATGTAGAAGTTCACAGGTCACTTATAATAATCAGAATATATAAGCAGCATTAGAAGTTTTTGAAAAAATATCGATTGTAATTATATTGTTTACTTTAGTAACGGTAGAAGTGATACCACAATGTAAAATTCCTGCTTTCATCAATTCACTTAAAGAATGTAAACAAATATATGAAAAAGTACTTTAATTCCCAAAACCTAAAGAACAAATAAGGCAACATTATTTATTTGATAATGATATATTTGTATGTATGTAAATTAGTGACACATTAACATCCACCAACTTCTGATGGAAATATTTGTCAGTAAAATGCTGAAGTGAAATGCAGATATGAATAATCTATCTCTATAGGGTTCATATCTAAAATGTGCAAGACCTCACTTGTCTGGTTTGAGGTCTCTGTGGACGATGCCATAGTTGTGGAGATACTCCAGTGCCAGCACCGTCTCTGCAAAATACATCCTGGCCATGTCCACAGGCAGAGGACCCATGTTCTTCAGAAGAGTGGCACAGTCTCCACCTTTAGAGATAAATGCAGTGCTTTTATAAGAGAACACAAAGGAGATGTTGTTCAAACTAAGTGCTTTCAGCTGCAGCACTTAAACTGCACTAAACAACCTTTCTGCTGACCTTCAACATACTCCATGACCATGCACAGGTGCCGCCGGGTCTCAAAGGAGCAGTACATGGACACCACAAAAGGGTTCTCTGCAAAGGTAAGTATGTCTCGCTCCACAAAGGCCTGTTGTATCTGATTCCTCAAAATCAGGTTCTGCTTGTTGATCTTCTTCATGGCAAACCGCTGCTTCGTTTCCTTGTGGCGAACCAGATAAACAGCACTGTGGGATAGTTAGGAATGGTTTAAAGGTCAGCTAGGAGACATTTTGTAAATTGATCATCAAGTCTGAACTTAAAAAATGTTTAAGCAGTATGTTGGTCTGTTATAGTCTATACAAACTTATTATGTATATTTATATTCTGTATTCAATATAGATACATTATGCATACATCATATATATTTTTATTGTTTATAATATATATATATTTACGGTTTATGTTTATTTTAATGTTGTGTGCAATGCCTTGTTTACATGCTGCTGTGACAAAACTATTTCCTAGATTGGTAAATCTAATATAATAAAAAGAAAATGAAATTGTTGGTGATGCATCTATAACCAGATCAGATCAGATTTGGAATAAGACGTCCTTACCCATAGGCACCATTGCTGATGAGTTTTTTCATCTCAAAGTCTAGTTCACAGGGTTTACGCCGACACCGCAGGGCTGTGCTGAGGCTCTGAGACTGAGGGCGAGAAGAGAGACAAATACTAGAACAACTCAAAAAGATCAAATCTGTATTTGTGGATGCAGTAAAGACGGAGGAGATCAATAGGAAAAAAGTGCTTACAGAATCGTCTGTTTCTGGTGTTTCTGCAATCCCGCTGTCACAGCTGGTTAGCTGAGCTATTTCTACAAAACAAAGAAAGAAAGAAGAAGCAGTTTAAATGTATAAAGTGTTGCTAGTGGATTATAAATCTAAAACTGCATGTGAGGCCTACAAGATGAACAGGTTCTGCAGTGCAGTTTTTAAAACAAAGTTAAATGCTGAGAAATCAGGACTTTTAAACAAAACAACATAACAGCAGCCTTTATCGACCTATTAGGTGTGAGGTGCTGACTCCAAGATAACTGAATTGAGAATAAATGGGGCGGAAATTAGATTTGGCAACACAAACACATGTCTAACACCCATTTTGAAAATCACTACTCCAGAACAACTGCTCATTATAAACCATCTTGCATCTTTTAGTTTTTTTCTCTGTGTTATTTTGCAATCATGCCACAGTCCATGTGTGTACTCTCACAGGGGGGTGTTTGTCCTGCCCCAAGAGAGCCTGTAAACACATTTCCGCTGCTATTTAACATCTGTCCTCCCTTATAGGTCTGCTTGAGGCACATAAGGCATGGGGCAAACGCAACACAAGAGACACTCGTGGGAAATGAGAGGAGAGATGGGCTGATGAGGCAGCCTGTGTGGATCTGTGTTAGGTCTGTGGGGAATGAAAGGAATGGCCTCCATTCCTTTCTAATTAGTCATAATGAATGTGGTTTGTTGCTGAATCTGGAGGGACAGAGGGTCATTAGAAAGACGGTCTGTTCAGGACAGGACATTAGTCAAGAGTATCTTTGTCTTTTGGTTCTTTCATTCCTTCACAGCTTCACCAGTTACTGTGTATTCACATTTACCGCAACGACTGTGACACTTTGATGGCATTATATAAGTAAACCCTAAAAGATTATCTAGATACCATCAATTCCTGCAAACTGCCAACGTAATAGTGGAAATGTTATACATTATTAGAATATTTTACTTTACATTTCATGCTGTTAGGTCGTTTGATTGTCTAGTGAACCAAGGAAAGATATTTGTGGTAAGGCTGTCCCAAATAGCTTGAAGCTCTAACCATAACATCATAGTTCATAATAATCATTTGAATGTTGTGTTTTTTTTTTAAGCACATCTATTCATTCTGTTTAAACCTTGTTATTTCCTGGTGTTATAGTTTGTATTTTAATATCGCTGATGTTGATGATGATAAACTTCCTTTACCTTCCAGAGGATCTCTTGTGAGTCCCAGCTGGCTGATGATGTAACGTGGAATGTCTGTTTTGATGCCCTGGCCCTCTTTAGCGTGCCCTTCAGCAGCCTCCAAAAGGTGGTAAAATTCCTCTGGGTCAAATTCCTGCAGACACACAGCAGCATGATTTAGTATATGAATAAGGTTTCAGAAGTGTGTTTGAATTACTTACACTTGTAGGACTTTTCTGTATCAGACACTCACAGATGTATTTTATAAGTTGCAGTGTGCAGTAAAAAGTGGCATGTGTCAACTCTGCTAAAGGTAGATAAATACACTGCTTTGATACTGTCAGACTTACCTACTACTTAAGTCACACATATAAAAAGAAATAAATACTACAGCAAAATGTTTTCTCTGTTGTCTGAACCAGCAACACAAACATAAGAAATATATTTAAAAATCAAATGAAAATGTTTTATATAAATACAGGGGTAAACAAACAGATCAGAGGCTGTGATATTTAACCTACCAGACATTCCAGCAGTCGAGCAGGTCGGGCTATGATGATGAGGATCTTCTTCACCAGCTCTTTGATGAAGTTTACCTCGTCACTCTCCGATCTCTCTGTTGACTGCACAGAAAGATACAGGATTTCCACATGTTATTGTAAGCTAGTAAAAGTCAGGTACATCAAAAATGCAACATGGTTTGTATTTATGACAATTTGTGCCTGTAACGCATAACCATCATGTTTCTAAACAGAGGTTGTACTTTCTGGAAACCCTAACGACTCATTTAAACATCTAGATGAGAAACAGAATTCTTTCTGTTGCACGATAGAAATAAAGATTCTCATCAGTTTCGTACTATTTTTCTTCACCTAAACAAAGATGGTACCTAGACATGATATGAAATGCTGAAATTCACTGTTCAAAGATGTAAAATATATATATTTTTAATATATATATTTTTATCTTGAATCTTTATTTTTCTTTCATAAAAAAAAAGGAAAAGAAGAGCATGGACACATTGACATTTTGGCTACTTGCAACATAAGAAATAAGTTCAAAAACATTTTATGGTCAAACTACTAAATCATTTTCCATCTTGAAGTGAAAAACATCGGATACTAATTTTTCGAATTCACGAATACTTTAGCTCTGTAATTCAAATGCAATAGAATACATCGAAAACACAAAATGGGGCTCTATCTTTGGGCTGTCTTTGACAGCACATTTGAATACTGTCTTATGCCTCTCATTGAAATAGTAGATCATTCCTGGAGACGCGCTCACCTCCTGAACCAGCCTCTCCAGCTTGTCAGTGAGCTCGCAGAAGTAGCTGGAGGTGATGAGTCCTTGCCGGCTCTTCTCCAGACAGTCACGGGCCAGCTCAATAATCTGGTGGTGGGCAAAGCCGAGCACACCATCGGCCAAAGGGAGGACGCTCTCCGGAGAGTTGCTTCGGATGATGTCTTGAATCCTTTCCTCCATCTGAGCGGTGGCCTGAAGGAAGAAGGGAAGGTGTCAGTTTGTCAATGCTTAACATAATTAATGGGCAGACATGGCTGACGGCTGTAGTGAACATATTGGGAGCTCTCACTCTGGGAAATCGCTCCTTGTAGACGTGGTTCATCATGATAATCTCATGGTCGTAGCATGAAGGAGATCTTCCAGGGCTGAAAAACAAATTGGACACAAATCAGTGCATTTGAATTGTTGACAAAGTATTTATACAATAGACAAAAATACACATATGCTAAGATTATATATTTATTTTCTTAAAGAAATATGGGCAGCGCTAATGGAGATCATTTGGGAACATAAGGTGTATCACTCAAGAATCATATACTTAGGAAGGGACTGTACTGAATTTGATACCAATCTATTGTTAATGGACCAGCACCAGAGGTGTTCCCATACACACAGGCGTTGGAGCTGTTCTTCATGAAATCCCAGAAGGATGAAGTGCTCTGACAAACAGTGCCATCTTTGCGCAAAATGATTATACAGGAATGAAAAGTCAATAAATAAACATGTTGTTAAAACTTTTTTTTTTTTTTTTTCTCTGCGCACCACCAATAATATATATGATATCTATATTGGAAATAATATGTGGGACTTATTTATATTAACCGATATGTAGTTTAATATTGATATGCTTGTTTTATTTACATTGTTTTTTTTCAGTGCTATTACAACTTTGTGTTGATTTGTTTTGTCATTTGATTTTTTATATATATAAAATCAAATCATATATGAAAACAACCAACGTAAATAAAACAAGCACAACAATATTAATATATATATATATATATATATATATATGTAAAGGAAACTGTTGAACTGTATTAAAAAATATTGATCTTAAAGTAGATTCGAGTCAAACCAAATAAAGATAAAACTTTATTTAAAAGAAATCAGTACTTGAGTGGCACCAATGGTACGCACTTGCACGTTAGGATAACGTATATTTGCAGAGAGGACAAATACCTGAGACTGCGTGATCGCGGTCGCATCTGAGCCGAGGCTCTGCGGCACTCATCCCCAGAGACGCTCTCTGTGCAGAAATGCTTAGAGAGGAAGTGCAGTTCATCAGGCGTAGGCTGGAAGGGCAGTTGGTGCAGCTTCTCCTGTGATGAACAGGATGACTGGAAATGAAACACATTTAAATTCAAAATGAAAAGGAAAAAAAAGAAGACGGCATTTTTTTTGTGGATGAAAAAAATACCATAAAAGAAAAATCATGCATTTTGGCAATTTTCTGTACATTTTACGGAACAGTTTCACATTTTGGGAATTATGCTTTTTTTGAGAGTCAAATAGCATAACGACTAGAAGCAGAGGGAAACAACTAGCCTAGCGCTGCCCACAAGTTGTTCAAGTTTTTGTAAAGAATAACTAACAACATAACGTGTTAATAAGTGACATTTAGATGTAATGCATTTTTCAACCTTGTTTCCCAGTGTTTCCAGACTTGCTAATGCTCAATTAAGCTAACCATCTCCTGGCCGTAGACCATGCTGTAGACAAGGCCAGTGCAATATTTTCCTGTAACTCTTAGCAAGAAAACAAATAAGCGTATTTCCCAAATGATTAACCATTCCACTAAAGCACACAAAATGTACATGGGACATTGATACAGCTCTTACAGTGGACACACACAAATGATCAAATAATAAATACATTCACTAACTGTTGTTGTGAATAACTGAAGAATGAGCTTGACCGTTAGCACATGCTAAAGACGTTTACTGTTTCTAGTATGAATTGACTCAGAGAAACAAGGACATGCTTCCTTCGATAGATGGTGTGAATAGCAGGAAATGTACCAGCTGACCAAATGTCACACAAAACAAAAACACAATCCTCATGATACTTTGTAATCCTGTTAGTCTGTGTTTACTTGGACTGTATTGTATGCACATGTCTACTTCCTATAAACACAGATATATTTGAACACAATTACATTTGAGAGATGTAGACGGAGGAACTAGTCACAATAAGAGAGATAGATGTGTGGGTGTGTGCTTGTTGCGTTCTTGTCAAAGTCATGTTTACTCCAGAACAAATATGTGCCTCTCATAGAGAATGTTTATTCACAAAGAATTGTGAGCCAGGTTCATAAAGGGTAAATAGAGCCATCGTGACAAATACTGTACTCCACATTAAAGTAACTTTAACTTGACTTTGTTCTGCATGCGGACAGATGTTTACTTGACCAACTTCCTATCATGTTTTTGCATTATGAATTGTTTGTTATTTAATTTGCTATTTTTGGGTCACTTAATAGAACGATCTGTCAATCAAACTGTAATATCAATATTATGTGACTCGAATTAAAACATGTAAGAGAAAAAGTCAATGACAAATGGCAGGTGAACAGAGATGCAGAATTGTCCGAATCTTTTATCATCTGTTTTTTATCTTGTGCATATTTTGGAATGCATGCTTACACAGTTTATATATGCACTCTTTCCTACTTTGTTTTGCAACTGCTGCAAACAATTTACCTCAGGATGAATCATTTGGGGTACAACACTAGCAGGTTAACCTTTCTCTTACTGGCTGGGTTATAACAAAATAAAAATTACCCTGGCAACATTTTACAAAGCGACAGCAATATTTTTATTTGACTCTAATTATGTAGAAACTTTACATGTATATATATATATCTATTAATTGTACTTGCTACAGTCATACCTTGTTTATGACTAAGAGGAGAACAAATATAGCTTGTAGTTTATTCAATAGCAAATAATCACGATATTGTTTCCTTAAAATATTCCTTGCTGCTTTTAATTACGCAGTTATGTTGATTTCTTTCATTTGTTTTCTTCAGATTATTTAAATTGACCTGTGATATGTTTTGATGCCACATGAGTCACACTGGGTGAGTGAATGATGCTTACAGAGACGGTGGAGCTGGGCGTGTTGGTTCCATATCCAGAGGAGGGAAGGGAGGCCAGCGACCAGCGGCGACCATCAGTCCTGTTACACAACAGCAGAGACACAGAACATCACACCTCAGAGTCTCACGCTGAATCCATAATGAACAATGCACGATGAAGCTCGTCAGTGAGAAAAACGTGTCTTCTTTTAAAAACCACTTCAAATGAAATATGAATTATTTACATGTTTGTATTAAAAACTTGTAAATGAACTTCTACAATCTTAATGAATATGTGGTTATAGATGAATGGTAACCTGTTTTTTGCTTTTTTCAGATGATTTGATTTACACAACATAGGAAAGCAAACACTGAATGAAGATCTCAAACCTGATGCAAGAAGGATGGAACAGAAAACTTATGGCAAACTAATGAAGGGGGTAGGATTATAAAGTCAACTTTGTACAAATGAGATGTAATGAAAATTCAAGCTCATATGAAAACCTAAAATAAAATGTTACCTGTCTGCTCTGTGGCAATGACTGTGGATTTTAATAAAAAAACACAATTACATGATATCGTGTTGAGTTCAAAGTAAAAATAAATAAATAACATAATTATTGATGCTGTTTTTAAAGCAGAAATTGACTCAAGAAGCTATACATTTACACTTGGGCTGGCAGGGAATATATATATATTTCAGTTTTTACAGGTGAATAGCTACGACTCGAAGCACATTGTTTTTATTTTTGATGAACTGCATCCAACAAGTGCCCCTCTGGTCTCTACTGGCTGAAGTCCAGCTGCAAATCAAGTGAATATCAATGGTTATTATTACCTTCGTGCAAAGGAGAAATGGGCCGAGGCACTAGGAGAGAAATTTCTAGGACTGTCTTGTGGGCTTGTTCCTATAAGAAAAACACAAGATGAAACAAACATTTAAAAGGTCAATTACAGAAAAGGCCAATTGCTGTAGTTGATTGTGAAATTTGCAAAAGCACGTACAGTACATAGCGTCTGAATTGAATGAACAAGGGGCATATTTAGGTTATTCCTTAAATAAAAGAAGCATGTTTTGTAACAGACATAATATGTTATCTATAATGATTTGTAATGTAACATTGTTAATAGAAGCGTTAGGGAATTAAACTAAATGTTTAAAATAAAAATATGTACTAGTAGGGACTTCTTCAAAAGCACCAATTAGCAGTTGTGTTTGGACTGCCGTAATCTAAGAACAAACCTTATGGTCTTGCATTAATCAGCCATTATCCATACTGGCGGACAATGATAGCCCCACTGAATCTCGTTAGTGATTAACATGACCTTTTTTATTCTACTGTAATCTTAATCACAGCCAATTACAGATGATAACCTCTTCCTTTCGTATTAGCCTGCACCTGAAGAGACATATTATTTACTGACTGTGAGAACGTTGTCCGTGAGGAATAACAGGAAATATGGTTCAAGGTAATGTCGTCTATAAAATGATTCATGATCATTACCAAAGGCTTGATCTGTGAGAGATCAGAAGAATAACATCCAGTCTGTTTAGAAACGTTCTTATGGTGCATCATCCGTGTATTCTACAGTGGACTCACTTTTTATTCCTGCTGTAAATGGAACTAAAAAGGACGTTTTTCTTACCTTTGGCACCAATATTACGACTGAGCCACAGAGTTAGGTCATCCCAGCGCTGAACACATTCATTAGCAAGAAGAACATTGTGGCTTTCTGAGTCCATCTTTAAGACTTCGTTATGTAGAAGTACAGACCAAACTCTGTGAGTTGAGGCTCTATCTTTGCTGACCAATGCCCGGAAATGAAACGCCCTGTGGTAAATGTGCCCTCCCTCCGCTCCCGTGCATTTCCTCTGTGCAGGCCACCACTTCCTCAGCTAGCACAATCACTGCCCTTCAACCTGCTACTGTACGGTTTAAAACTGCCCCAAACACCACAGCAATGACCTGAGACAGATTCATTTACACTGAAAGAAGTTAGCTTATATAACAACTTTTCACTTTCACAAGCCTATTTTAGAATCAGTCAACAGTAAAGAGTCTGGACATTACCTGTGATTTTCCATCTGATCATATCATTACTATATGACTGTGCCTAATAGTGCTGCCACGGGTTTAAAGCTATTAAAAGGGAATCGCAGCAGGAATATACTTCTACTTGCATTTTCTGGTATTTTGCATTACACATTTGTGATTTTGGCATGTACTGTACACTTACCCGTTAGAGACGAGAGAGGCGAGTGAGGTCGGGGTAAACCTGTAGACTGACCGCTTCCTATCAGGCTTTTTCTGTTGCTCGTTCTGCAGCTGTGAAACCAGAGTTAAATATTAGGCAGGACACTGGACACAAAAATGACCTTTTCACATATTCCCTTATTAAGAGCAGACCAAATCTCAACTCATGTTTTAATTACGTTGTGTTTGAATATGTTACATACTGCATGCTCCTTGGTATTTGTATTTGTTCCTCTTTTCTTTGGTTTGGTGCTATTTTTGGGGATTTTGTATTGTGTATAAGTCAACCTCTGTCATGGCATTGTTCTTGTCAGGTGTTAGAAAAACAAAAAAAGCATTTTGTATCCTGTAAAACATTTAAAAAGTTTTTTTATTATATTTCAAAATGCAAGATGTAAAAAGAGTCCGATAAATGTACCAATTCAATGGTTGAGTAAAATGTCAACAAACAAATATTAGTAGTGGTTACATTTGATACATTGATATTCTGTTGGTTGTTGCAGCCATTTGTGCTTCCATAAATATCGTTTAACACATGTGTGAACATCAACGTGTTTCTATATTGACCAATAGTTTTACAAAAAATAATGTTTCTAAAGAGTCTCATTATTGTGAATACGATGTCACTCATAGTAGCTAATTATACCCATTATATATACAGTATATGATAATACACATCCACTTACAGAACTAATTACAAACTCTCGGTGACATGTATTTCTGACTGAATCCTCTATCACAATACCAAAACAGAGCCTCTAACATACTCGAGGGTGTGTTTACAGTCCTGATGTTAAGAGTTAATATTGGTACAAACAGTGCCATGAAAACAAGAAACAAAACATCCTCCTTCAGTCACCAAAAAAGGTTTCTTTGTGCAGCATTTATCATGCTTTTAGTTGTGTTGATCATGTTAATACATGACTGTGATTCACAAGGGAACATCGGATCAACAACACGTGACTCATAAATGTAGCCCAGTTTTTAACCTTGAGAGGAAAAATGAACTATTTCAAAGTAAGAAACAGCTTCCAGTGTTCAATCCACTGATAAGTCTTGGGTTTATATTTTCAAATTAGAGGCTGTCAGTGGAAACGCTGCATCGTGCCTGGAGAACATGAATTCACTTCAAGGTCAGAGACTCAATGACATCCTGTTACATAACCTCCTCAGAGAACTGAACCATTTCTAACTGCATTTTTAAGATGTTATTCAATAATGCTGCTTCCATCCTTTGCATTATACAAACACCACATGAAACACATGTATTCTCTATACTTATTTGATGTGTGTGTGCCTTGATTTTACTGCAGCATTTAATGACCATACTAATGTGCTAAGTGTTAACCCTTTGGTTCTTGCTTGGGTGATTTTTCAAGGGACGCTACAGGGTGTTCTGTATACTTCAAGTGTTGCACCGGTTTTACCCTTTAGATGCTATGTAATCTTACTGGTCAGCAGAGGTAGGAAGTAACTAAGTGGATTTACTCGAGCACAATTTTGAGATACTTGTACTTTACTTGAGTATTTCCATTTATGCTACTTTGTACTTTTACTCCATTTCAATTAAGAGGGGAATCGTTTACTTTTACTCAACTAAATGTATTTTGTACCTTAATTTACAGATCTGGATTAATGATGTGAAATATAATCAATAATTAAAGTCATTCAAACTAGCTGCACCTTTACCAGCTTTGATAAACACATGAATGCATCAATAATCATAATAAAAACACATAATATATATTATTCTGAAATGGGCCAATCTGCATAATGAGTGCTTTTGGTACTTTAAGTATATTTTGATGCAAATACTTTTGATTGCAGGACTTTTACTTCTAACAGAGGATTCCTACAAACTTGTACATCTTGAAATCTGAGTTCTTCTCCTACCCCTGCTCACTAGCTAGATTTAAAGCATAGAAGACAATGCTCTTTACTAATTCTCCCTCACATTTTGCCCTTGAAAATCTGATACAAAAGAGGCCTATGGATCAATGTTGTGCCCATGTTGGTGTTGATGACCTACGGGCAATTTCCCACAAATTTGATGCATCATTTTGACTATGACACCAGAAATGTCAGCTGACAGAGAGAGAATACTTGCCCCTGCTTAATGGTTGAGCAATTAGCCAAATGGTAAAGTCTAATGTGATGATGAATAGACGACAAACAATTGAGAAGTATTAACCAATTAGTGGTCCTCATGGCTCAGTCCTCTCATGATTATAAATCAGAGGATGCAAACATGTTATGATGCTCGACATTACAGACCACATTTCAGGTATTTGAATATCCAAAAAAAGCAATGACCTTCAAGCTGAGGTCAGTCATTTCAGGATTTAAAGTTCAACGTGATGTGACAAGCACATTAGAACGATTATTTTATTATTCTGATTATAATACGCCTTTGATTGAATGAGTTGTAGCGGACTCTAAATATATAATTGACGATTATCGGTTTTCTGGACAGTAATAATGTATTATGTAATGTTGCAAAACACCTTTTCAAAATAAATAGTTGCATCCAACAATTTTCTTGTACTCTAAGTTTTCTCTTTGGCACAATTGAAATGTAACGAGTGCTAACAATGAATTTTGAAATAAAATTTGAAATAAAATATTTCAAAAAATAAATATATCTTTTGAGGGGCATTAATGCTGCTTATCATGCATCTTACATATGTGCACCAGCATATGCAGGGGGCAAGGATCCAGCAGAAATGTGTGGTTAGAAAGAGTTTGTCCTGTTTACGGAGCTTGGTAAATCTGAGGTAAGACTTATTTACTTTGAAAAATGTCAAAGTAAATAAGAGATTTAGGATAAGAAAGAGAAAAAAAATGTTCTTTCATGAGACCCAGTAAGGTGCATTATATCCCAAGCTGCTTTCAGTCCTGTTGACATCCCATTGTTACCCATACATTCATCTCCTGAATTCAGTGGGGAAACCCTACTTAGACTGAAATGACATTCATCCTTGTGTCCTGAAGTGGTTTCTAACCCCGCAATCAAGATTGTTGACATCCATCTTCTCCCGCTTATCTGTGGTCGGGTCGTGGGGGTAGCAGTTCCAGCAGAGACACGTGCGATGAATCATTTATCGTGGTGAGACGGGAGCGAATAATATCTGGTAAAGGCAAAGAGGATCAGATTTAACAAGATCTATTTATACCCTCTCAATGAGGATTAAGCCCAGAGAATGCCACACTGCTGCCCAATCGACCCTGTGCCACTCATGGGGACGTTAAGTGACTGCTTCCGGATTACTTTACAAAACAAACAGTCACTGGTTACGATGGCACGCCGGCCATCTTTATCATGTTTGATGCTAAGCTGAGCGGGTACCTCTGAGGCCAGAAAGGCTGAGTGAGGGGAAAAAAGCATGATGTTATAGAGAAGCCTTAAAGGAAGGATAAAGCAGCCCTGGGCGAAGATGATAGGGAGAAAGTAGGCCAGTGTTGTATGTCGTTCTGCAGTTGTGTGAGATTCCTGGAACGGATCCATAGAAGGGTTTACCACTCTCGGTGATATGCAAAACCCTCAACCTCATCACACCATTGTTGCGTTACACGTGAAATCTCCACAGCGTAGCTACATCGCTCTTTTTTAACACCTGGAAATAATCTATGAAAAGGTGTTTACCAAAGTAAGAGATACCTTACATATCGAGGATTATTAAAAGTGCATTTATTTCTCTTCTTTAGTGACCTACATTACTGCAACTCTTCAATATCACAAAGTAATCTGAATCTGTCAAAAACTATTTCTTCGATTTCAGAGTGCTTACTTATTTTGGGTGCGGAAAGAGGCAAAAATAGATAACAGTCTTTGAATTCAGACACTTTGAATCCAGATACATTTGGAACGTCTGATCCTGACCCGTGTCAACAAAAAGCCACGATTCATCTTTTTCACTTCTGCCTCTTTAGCTTCCTTGTCAGAGCTGTCAGGTGAGCTGAAAAAGTGCAATGCAACATAAATCACTGCTGCTCGCTGACAAACCCAAATTCAAAGTCACACATATGACACACACAGCTCTATTAATAGTGTTTAAAAACTTGCTGCTTGGGTAAAAGCAATGCCGCTTTTTTTTTCTCCCCTAGCCAATGAAGACTGATTTTCTACATCTGAGAACGTACATCGCTTTTCAGAGACTAAGCTTTGACAAATCTCTAGGGTTTTTGTTAGATTTGCTTATACTTTCACATCATGTGCATTACATACTTAACTTTGTACTTTTGGATATTATGGCCAATGGTTGCAGCAAAGGTCTTAAGGCCGGCTACACACCAACCTGAGACCAAAGAACGCGTACCGAAGGCATCCCGACTTTTACGTCCGCTATGTCGGCTACGCCGCCCGCCTACGAACACACCGCAAAGACTTCAGTCGACGAGTGGCAATAACTGTCCTTAAAGCAACGACGGTGCGGGACACACCAACCTGAGTAGGGCGCCGCGAATGCCCGACTGCCTCTGACGGCCTCTGACTCCCCCAAAATCGGGTAGGTGTGTCAGGGCCTTTACAAAATCCTACATTTTTGCAGAATACCGTTTACTGAATCCTTTTTACTATTTAAATGTACAGGAATTACAGGAGGTGTTAGCTGCCTAATTCTTCAGGTTACAATGTAATCAAAACATAAGACAAACTTGAAAGAGTTGCAGCCATTTCAGCTCATTCAGTTAAGGGAACCACTAGTCATCATCTGTAATGAAACTTTCCATCAGTTTTAAATAGCCGTTTAATGAAATCAATGATATGGTCAACTTAACATCAATCATCAATTTATTCACAAACCCAGAGCAGAAAACATGGCTGTGATCTCAGACTTTTTCAAGGCTTCAATTTGCCACTAAATATGACAGCGTTTTTTGGAATTCTTATGTACTGATGTCCAAAAACAGCCAGTATTTTAAAGTTAAGCTGTTTTTCACTATAAAATGGGTCAGGGCAGAGATTAAAGCTAAATATCAGTTTTATGGGCATCACCAAACCATATACAGAAAACTGAGATCAAGTGGCTTAGCTATAAACCAGTGGCTACACACTCTGATTCACATAAACCAAT